ACAAGTGTTGCATTCCTCACTGGGCGCCGGGCACATTCCTCCCGGCGCTGCCCGCCCCGGGGTGGGTGCTGGAGCCCCCTTAAAGCCTCCTGTCCCCAAAGAGCATTTCCCAGACGCCCGCCAGCTTCCCCTCAGCTTGCTGGGATCTCACCGGCACCCCGCATAGAGGTAAGGCTGGGGCAGTGGGGTGCCTGCTCAGGTGTAGGATGCTCACCGGAAGGGCAGTTGTTAAAGATCCAAAAGGGATTTGGCGCAGGGTTAATGGTCCTCCCCAGCTGCTTGCACTGGGATTTCTTTTTGCCATGAAATCATTCCCACAGATAAAGCATCAGGACCCTCTCCAGGGGGTTGTATCTGCAACTTCCCCAATGCCTTTTGAACCACTCCGATATGTGCCAAAGTGGCTGAGAAGGATTTTGGCTACTCTGGTGGCAGGGAGATCTCATAGTTCGCTGTTCCCTGTGTCTCTGGAGGGACAGGAGGGATGCAATGCCCATGGGGCAGTCAGGCCAGCCTGGCCCTGGCTCACTGGCAGACCGTGGGGTGGGTTAGAGGTGGGATGCTCTCGTGCATGGTCTGACCCAGCCAAGCAGGAAGGGAGCAGCAACATGATCCATGCTGGAGCAAATGCTGGGAAATGGAAGCTCCATGTTTGGGTGGCCTGGAGAAAAGCAGGCACTGCAAACCGTGGAGGGTTACTCAGCCTCAGACATGTAACCAGTCAGCCCTGAGCTAATGGAGAGAGGGGTTGTAAGGAGCGGGAGGGATATCTGGATTATTTAACACACAGCAAATGATGGTAGATTTTTTGCAGTCTATAATATGTGCAATGTTTCCTCTTGAAGTCTGTAATATGTCTGCTGCATTCTCTTATTTCTTTCAAAACAAAATTTCAAAGCTTTAATGGAAAGGTTTCTCTGTTTCTTTTCAGAGAATGGATAAATATTTCCTAGAAGCACTTTTTTTCCTGTGCAGCCCTTAACAGTCCTGGTTTTGTTGTTGCTCCTCAGCAAATGCTCTGTGGGATTTGGTGATATATGAGATAGGAAGTGAATGGAAATGTAGAAATAAGCTTTCACAAATGCATATTTGTGCTGTTGAGGCCAGGAGAGAGTCTCCTCTCTTGTGTTGTGAGAGGACCACATGAAGTCTTGGGTGCTCAGAAGCCACAAAAAAGATTTGGCCAGACTCTGGGGGTAGCAGGACCATGCCTAGCCTTGGGGGGAAGCAGGGCCAGGAATTGCTGTTTGAGGAGGAAGAGCCGAGATCAAGGGGATGGTGCTGGAGGCGGATGCTTAGGTCCAAGCCCCAAATGCATCACAGGGAAAGGAATTACAATGGCAGAAGCAGGCGGCAAACCCAAGGCAGACAGGGCTGAGTTCTGACTTCATTCATCTGCAAAAAGCACCTTCTGAGTCATTGCTCAGAAGTGAGATTTGACAACTCCCCGGGAACCACGGGTATGCAGCGGCACCCCTCCTATAACACATCTTTCCCATGCTTGCGGATTCCAGTCCTGGATTCAGCATCTTGAATAAGAGATCCTGAAGCCTGTCCTACCCATCTCGGGTAATAAATGCCCAACAGATGTAGCCAGGGCCAGTTGTTCCCAGACACCCGGCAGGAGGAGAAGTGAAGCAGTGCTGCTCTGGGAACAGGTGGCTCAGCACATGGAAATTATTTCTAGAGCTGCCTTGCATTTTCCCGCTGTATCTCAGCTTTGTTGAGGTCTGGCACAAATGCGAGCAGCGGATAGGCTGTGCAGGGGCTTGGGGCTGATGCTCAGGCCTGCTCCAGGATGCCCAGGGTTGGGGCTGACCATGGGGCTGGTCTGTGCAGATCTTGTGGTGGAGCAGCAGGTGGAAGCTAGATGAGGTGAGACAATGAGTAAAGTCATCCTGACCAGAGCTGGGAGGTAGATGGGTGTGCTGGGAAGATGAGTGCAGCTGTTTCTGCAGAGTTACTAGCCCTATTGCTAAATTAGGCTGTGACTTACTCCTTTTACCTAACCTCAGCCTCAGGGCCAAGATCAGGAGAGAAATGCTCCTGCTGAGCCCAGATCGTCCCTTTCCAGAGCACCCCCTGCACTTGGAGGGCTGGGCTGGGAGGTTTCACTGAGATCTCATGCCATGGCTTGTGCAGGACCATAAATTTGAGATAATGGGACATCCCTGCAAGTTCCTATATCCCAGCTGAGCTAAGAATAGTCAGGAAGCAAAACAAGCTGAACATTATAATTGGGTTATTTTCCCATGCCCTGAGCAAACACAGCACCCTGAGATGGCTGCAGTGAGGGGAGCTGCATGTCCTGGACAGGGCTCCTGACAGCACTTATCAGTGTTGCATGAGGCTCTGTCTAATATCCTGCCTCCTGTTTGGGGCAAGCTGTGATCCCAGGACGGGAGGGGAAGGGGGAGCCTTATCTCTGTTGAGATAACACTGTCACAGCCTGGCTGGGGACAATTCAAAGCTCCAAGTGCTTTGGAGAGGCACAGCATCTCTGTGTCCATGTCTCGAGTGCTGGAGGACAGGCTGTGCTTGTCCTTATCTCAGCTCCTAACCCTCACTTTTTCCAATCTGCCTTGAATTCTGCTAGATAACCAGGCATGTCGGACTCCGAAGAGGTTGTTGAAGAATATGAGCAGTAAGTGGTCTGTTTTTAAACACCCTTTCTTTCTCCTTATTCTTGTCTTCCCACAGGGTTGCACCATTGCTTAGGGGTGTCATTCAAGAGGCACCAGCTCTCATCATTACCCCAGCACCCAGCGTGAAAGGGCCTTGGGATTCCCCCACCCTGTGCCCATCTGCACCGCTGCTGTGATAGTGCCGAGACCCCCAGCAGTGGGGAGTTTTGCGTTAGCAGCTGTATCAGCACATGTATGGCAAGGGACAGTCCCTGCATTAAACTTGCTGCAGTCCAAACCAGTGAGATAGAGCTGGGAAAAGCTGACATCATCAGTCTGCTGCTGCTGCTGCTGCTGGGGTCCTACTGCCACATCCAGAACATCACTCCCCAGGGCCCAAATTTGAGGGCAACTTTTGCTAGTGAGGGCTGCTGGACCATGAGGCGCACCCTGGAGAGAAGGGGCTCAATATCCCAGCTGTGTGGTTATAGGGATCAGTCCAAACACAGCTCCTACTTCTCATCCACCAGCAGAAAATGCAGATCTGAATCCTTCTCTTATGTTTAAATGCCACGACAGACTCGCATATCTCAGCAATCAGTCTGACCCCTGAGCCCAGTGTCCCCTGGACATACATGAAGACACTGCACATCTCCCCCAAGGTCAGAAAAGGACTTTGGGGCAAAGGTGGGATGGGAGATGCCTGTTTCTAGGATTACAGGCCATGGTCACTCGATCTTCTCAAGCTACAAAAGTGTTTTGCTCTGACCACTGTTGAAGTGTCAGTCGAGCACTTCAGCTCCTGCTCACTGCAGCCTGCAGGGTGATTTGGGTCTTGGTCCATCCCCACTGCCACCTTACAGCATGCCACACAGCAGCCTGCCCAGCAGTCATTGCCTATTCCTACAAAATAGGGGAGCCAGACTTTAGGAAATTTCAAATTCCCCTTTGGCATCACTGATGGACACATGCGTCCCGTTGCAGCAGATTGCTGTAACTCTGCAAATTTGTGTTGTGCTTTGCAGGGAGCAGGAAGGTAAGAGGACGTGGAGCATCTGCAGCTGCTCTGAGGCTGAAGCTAAGAAATGATCAGAGTAACTTCAATAACCTGCGTCTTTTTCCCTTCCCTCTCTCCTGTGCGCACATGTGCTCTGTGAAGAGGAGTACGTAGAAGAAGGTAGGTGTTTCACTGGCAGTTGCAAGGACCAAGAGACAAATGCTGTTGGTTCAGTAGTTTGCTTGGGTGGGTTGTGGTGGTAAGCTCCTTGACTGCAATGAGAAATCATGACCAGAAAAGGCAGATAGGACTATGTTCTTGATTTCTCCATCTGAAACATCAGTAGGATGAAAACCAGCCTGAATTTTCTCAAGATCTCTTGTGAGAGTGATCCTTTGACTCAAAACAGGGGTGGAAGTGCTGGACTCAGGCTTTCGCAGAGGTGTGAGCACAATAACTCAATGGAAGCTGGAGCCTCAGCTGAATGTATATTAACGATGCTCAAGCACAAACCTCCAACTGCCTCAGTCCAATGAAGAAGCAAACCCCATGGTGCACACAGTCACCCTGGGACACAGCTGGGCTGTGCATTTAGGGCTGGGTTTGGGAGCTGGGTTTTGCTGAGCTTCTTGCTGCTCCACGGCACTGCCAGGCAGCCCAGGCTGCTGCACGGCAAAACGTCCTGAACATTAAAAGCAAAGAGAGGTGCAAGGGGAAAACCACTGCAGTGCTAGAGTCCTCATCTCATGCACGTCATAGCTACACTCCACAGCTTTATGGTGTCTGACTAACCTCTGCACTTATTCCTTTCCCTCCTCCCTGGCTCAGAAGAGGAAGAATGGATAGAGGAAGAAGACGGTAGTTATTGCACCTTTCTTTATTTCATCTCTCCACTGCTGCTGTGAATATGTCGTGGGTTGGTGTGTCATTTGCCTACCCCTGGTTGGGAAATGGTTTTCTTTCATTCTTCCACTTCTCTCTCTTGTTTCTTGCACTCCCCCCTTCCTGCCCTGCTGTGCTGTGCATATCTGCTCCTGTGTCTGTGGCTTCTCTCTTACATCTATCAACCAAATGCACTCGTGGTTTGCTATCTTCTTTTTTTTCCTTCTCTCTTGTGGTGGGACCACAAGTCTCCCCATGACCTGTGGGCCCCAGCATCGCTCTGACTCCAGTGGAGGACTCCTGCGGGGATGCTGCTCCCTCCAGTGGAAAAATGCTCCAACAGTGTCATAAATAAGATTGTGAAGGTGCCGAAGGCACATTCTTTAATGCTAGTCAGTCTTGTTCTTTGCTGACTAGAGGACAGCAATAGAAATCTCTCCTCCCCTCACCGGGGTCTAAGAGTATGGATAGCAGGAGAGGGAATGAGGGACAAACCAGAAGGTGGCTATAAATCCTTTAATTTTTTTTTTTTTTTTCCCCTACCCAAGCACAGAGACCAGCCTTTGGGTAAAGGTTAGAGTGAAGTCCTTTGCTTTCTGAGCCGCTGCCTCTTTCTCCTGCGGCTACATCTGCCCCAGGTCGGGTCCATGCTGCTCTTGTCCTGATACTGGGGTCCTTAGGGAGCCATGGGAGTGGTGGCTGTCGGACTCACGCTGCCCGTTATTCCACAGGTCAGGAAGAACAGGTAGAGGAGGTGGAGGAGGAGACCGAAGAAACCAGGGCAGAAGGTACATGAAATAATGCCAAAAATGAGTTAAGCCTGTTCCACCAAGAGGTCCCCGTAGCCTTGGAGGGGGGATTTCAGAGCTGGGGTCATGCTCTGATGTGTCTCACCATCCAAAGAGCACTGGACTTCATGAGACCTCTCTGGAGCAGACTGGCTTGCCTGATGTGTGTCCCTGTGCTGTCATGGCTGGCAGGGCAGTCTCAGATCCTAGCCGTGCTCCCCAAATTAGGGTGCTGGGACCCCTCTGTGCTGGGGGGGAAGTGGCTGCCCTCACCCACGGATGCTTATATTCTGCCCATTGCTTTTGAAACAGAACAAGAAGATGAAACGAAAGCACCAGGAGAAGGTAAAGCAGAAATGGAGGACGGGCAGTTTTGGCCATTTTAGTCCTGATCCCAGTCCCCCAAGACACTGGCCCCCCTGGGGTTTTCAATGTTGAATCAATTTGCTGCTGAAGAGAGAGAATCAGCAGTAAAAGGGGCAGTGCTGCCGTGGTCCTGTCCTCTGCCAGGGCTGGGGCAGCAGCAGGCCTGCAGGAGGGGTGGCTTTGTGCTGCCTAGGTAAGAAATTCACCCAAAATACAGGAGAGGGTAGTACTACTCCTTTCCCAGCCTGAGCTCTTGCAAAGCTTGTCAGGGTTTGCAAGGTCCTCCTGGAGAGGACCTTGGGCTTTTCTGGTCTGTCTATGGGTGAGGGGTGTCTGTGAGGGATCTGCTCTCTCCCTGTTCATCCTGGAGGGATGGAGCTGGGTTTTGCAGTGGGGATAAGCACAGGGCAGAGGTAAACAGCCTGGCCGAACCACCCTGCTGTGTCCATGGTCAGGATGCACAGGAGGGCTGGCCTTTGGGAGCCAAAGCATCATGTTTTCCACAGGTGGAGAGGGGGACCGGGAGCAGGAGCCTGGGGAAGGTGAAGTATCCATCCTCCTCCCTCTCTGGGGTGGGAGGGTCTGTCCCTTCACCTGTGTAAGGAGGTACCAAACACCCTTCTGCTCAGTCAGGAGCATCGACGTGTGTCTTGGGCTTTGGCACACAGATGGACACCTCACTGCATGCCTTTTTGCTGGAGGATGATCCACAGTGCAGCCTGTGCTGCTGGGAGAGAGGAGTAGCTTGACTCATTGTTGTGGGTTTTGGGTCAAGGTGTGAAAGCAAATGCCTCTGTGACACTAACGTCTTTCTCTCCTGCTTCTGGGGACCCATAGGTGAATCGAAGCCAAAGCCCAAGTAAGTATCAGTGCATTTTCTCTGGAACTAGGAGCTGTGCCAGGGCAGAGGCTGCATGTGATGGGCTTAGCACCATGATCCATAAAGGGCATGGGCCAGCAAGGCCTCAAAAGCATGAGGGGATTGGACATGGAAAGAAAAAGGGAGAGAAAACAGGCAGATAAACGTAGAATATGAAGAGGATCCTGAGAATAAGGTTGTGAAGCATTTTGTGTGCTCCTTGGAGGAGGTCCAGCTGCCCTGTGGCCCTGCAGTTGAAAAAAATCTGTGCACCCCAGCCCAGGGTACATGGTCCGTGGCACAGCCAGAGTCTTGCTTCACCAGTATGCTCCTGGCCATGACTGGCAAGAGGCAGTCATTTGCATGGGTGGCAGCATCCCCAGGACAGGAGCACCTGCCTGAAGAAGTGGGATGATGAACCATTGCCAGGAACCTGAGGGACCTCATGGACCCCTGAGATGCTGCAGTCTGGGAGGCAGATCTGTCCTCAGCCACGATCTCTTCATCCCTTTATGTCTTTATGTGCCCCTACTGAGCATCTTCTGTCCTCCCTCAAGATCACAGAGGATGAGAGGATGCTTTCCAGCACCCTGTGCCAGGTCACACTGGAGCATACAGTTGCTCTGTGTGCTTTTGGGTAAGCAGTGGGGTGGCTGCCAGCCCCAGGGTGCCTGGCAAAGGGTCATGGCCAAGTTGCCTGCAGCTTGCAGAGTTATTCCAGCCATGTGGGTGCCTTGGAGTGCTTCCCAGGAGTGCCAGAGGTTTTCCGCTGAGGTTGTCCAGCTGGCAACCTCCAGCAAGCAGCATTACATTTCCCTGTCCTCAAAATGTGCTCAATCTGCATCCCCAGGGGCTGCAAGGCTCAGAGAGGAGGGCTGGGTAGATCAGTGCATGGACGAAAGGCACCGTCCTGTCCCAGGTATCTGCTGCAGGCTCACCATCCTCCTGCTCACCTTTGATTGCAGGGTCTTCATGCCAAACCTGGTGCCTCCCAAAATCCCAGATGGCGAGAGACTGGATTTTGATGTGAGTAGTGCGCTCAATGTCAACCTCCATGAGGTGGTCCCCTCACACTGTGCCCAGCAGTTCTGCAGCTCCTGGAGGGCTTCACTTGTGGGACTGTAGCCATTGCCGCTGTTTGTGTCTGGTGCAGGACATCCACCGCAAGCGTATGGAGAAGGACCTAAATGAACTGCAGGCTCTCATCGAAGCCCACTTTGAGAGCAGGAAGAAGGAGGAAGAGGAGCTCATCTCCCTCAAGGACAGGATTGTATGTCTGCAGCCCTGCCTCTGTATTGCTATTGCCACTCTCTCCTCTGTGGGCGAACAGCCACAATCCTTTCCCCACAGTCCCGACCACCAGACCTGAGGCATCCCATGCCCCTGCAAGACAGAGCCTGAGATCTGAGCCAGATTTTGCACCCCAGTCCCTGGGAAGCCCCTAGTCTGGCTGCTGTGATGCTGTGGTGCCTAACAGAGATGCACCTTCCCCTGTGGGCTCTGGTCCATGTGCTCTCCTGAGAGACGTGAGAGCAGCAGATCTTCCCTTGGGGCTCTCAGGGATTTTGGGGTCAGGGATGTGTCCCTAGGGACAGAGAGGATGCAGATTTCCTGGGGCATCCAAGCCAACGTCCTCTCCCCCTGCAGGAACAGCGGCGAGCAGAGAGAGCAGAGCAGCAGCGGATTCGCAGCGAGAGGGAGAAGGAGCGACAAGCCCGCATGGCCGTGAGTATCTCTCCAGGGCTGGGAGGGTGGGCTGGTCCTGGGTAGCACAAGCCTGGCCGCAGAGCACATGGGAGCACGAGCTGTGTGAGGCATGCAAGCTGGTCCATGAAGTCTCTGTCTGTCTGGTCCTGATCCACTTCTGATGCTGGCAGGAAGAAAGAGCTCGCAAAGAGGAAGAGGAGGCACGGAAGAAGGCTGAGGAGGAAGCGCGGAAGAAGAAAGCTTTCTCCAACATGCTGCATTTTGGAGGCTACATGCAGAAGGTGTGATCCTACCCCGGGGGGTTGCAATGAAGCTGCTGGTGCTCCCAGAAAGGGCTCAGCCATGGGCTGGCCTCACAGCACTGTGCACGTTCTTGGTGCTCGTAGACTGTGGCTTCTACAAGCAGAAGAAGACAGGCCACCACGGTTGGGTCACAGCAGTGGTTAGAGGGCCAAACTGCTCTGAGAGCTCTGCTTTGCAGATGCTGGCCAGGGGTGGTCCAGCTTTGCCTCAGGGACAGGGATGGGGGGCGGGGGGGAATGTCTTGTTCACTGCTGTCAAAATTTAGTTGAGGACTTCCTGTGCTTCTGGAGTCCCAAAAGATGAGGGTGTTGGGGGCAGAGCTGGTGGTATGGCCAGAGCAAAAGCTGGGCAGATTTCCTTCCCTCCAATGGACTAATGGTTTCCTCAGTCAGAGAAAAAGGGTGGGAAGAAGCAAACAGAGCGGGAAAAGAAGAAGAAGATCCTCAGCGAACGGCGGAAGCCCCTGAACATTGACCACCTCAACGAAGACAAGCTGAGGTGAGCATGAGCTGCAGGAGGGGCCTCCAGCACAGAGGCTCTGCTTTGGGTCCCACCTCCCTGGGCAGGATCCAGGGCCAGGGCAGCCTGCCCGGGGCTTCCAGCCCAGACAAGAGGATGATGGCACAGCTGGGAGATGGGCTGTGACACCCCATGAGGGACATGGGCTCTGTGGCTGGGCCACCATGGCCAGGCTGCTGCTGACATCACTGGCCATCAGAGGGAGCCACGCTCACGTGTGTGGGGCACACCTGTCCCCAGCCTCCCAACCTCACCCATGGCTCTGGTCCACACATGGGACTGGCATCGGTCCCTCGCCAACACATCCCTGGCTGGACATGGAGCTTGCAAAGACCCGTCCGGGGGGAGCAGGCAAGATGTTGGCATCACTGCCCTGTCCCCTGTACCGATCTCCCTGTGAGCCACATCCCTTTTCTGCACTGGCACAGGGACAAGGCCAAGGAGCTATGGCAAACCATCCGCGATCTGGAAGCTGAGAAATTTGACCTGCAGGAAAAGTTCAAGCGGCAGAAATACGAGGTGAGCTGCGAGATGAGCAAGCTCCATCAGCTTGCTCACCCTCTGTGTGCCTGGCTACTCCTTCTGCTCCCCATCTGGGAGACGAGGTGGGTTGTCTGGCTGATGGTGCTGTCGCAGGGCAGCTGGGTGTGTCAGAAAAGGACTGTGCCCCCCTTGTGCATGGGTTGACAAACATCAACAGGCTCTACAACCATTTAAAACAAATCCACATCTGCCTTCCTCTTGACAATGAGCCAGGATCAAGCCAACCCCCCCAGTGGCTGCCAGCCACCCTGGCAAGGCTGAGCATACAGCTGTGAAATGCTGGAGGATGTGGCAGCTGGTGAAAGGGGCTGTGTGGTAGCCCTGTGACCTCCCAGCTCCTGGGGATGTGTGCTTTGCACCACAACAGGCTTCCCACTGTGCTGCACATCACAGTCCCGTGCTAAACCCCACGCAAGAACCACTGGAGAAGAGAGAGCAATGATGCACCTTCACCCCAACCCTCATCCCCAGCCAGTCATGGGGCATCTTGCAAGGCCTCACCATCCACCTGCGTTTGTTTCTCTTGCAGATCAACGTCCTCCGAAACCGTGTTAGTGACCATCAGAAAGTGTAAGTCCCCAGGCAGGCTGAGCATCCTTCCTCGATGCCTCCTGGTCTTCAATCTCCCTGCTCCCCTGGCCTCAGTTCCCCCTCTGTGTATCTCCTGACTCTCTTGCACCATTGCAGAACCACCTCCTGTCCTTCCCAATCCTGCCCTTGGTCCCACTGGTACCTGGTGTTCATGGACCTGCACTTTGGCCCAGGGACCTCGGTCCATGCTGCTCCACTCCTGTTGACAGACCCCCATTTCCTCCCACCTCCACCAGATTCCCCCAGCCCCAGAGACCCCAGCTGGAGATGGACCCCCAGGAGACCCCACCTCTGCACCTGGAGCCTTGTATCCTGTGGGGTCCTGCCAGCCTCCAGCTGTCCCCATCCCTGCAGTGGCTCTGCCCAGCATCTCGGAGAAGGTGCTGGAGATCCCAGCTTGTGTAGGAGGGGAAAACCCTCAAGCTGTGCGAGCTGCACAGACCCACAAGAACAGGGGAGCCTGTCCCTGTGCCCATGTCCCCTGCACAGGACTGAAGGACCCTTCATAGGAGGGTGGAGATGGTTGTTTAACGCCCACCCTCAGGAGCACCATGCTGCTCTCAGATCCCCATCCCACCCCGTCGTCTCGCATGAGAGGTGCTCAGTCTGCCCCATGTGACAATCAGCAGCATCCCTCCCCACTTACACCAAATCTCTTTTCTCTTCTGCTCCAACATGGCCCGTTACTGCAGCAAAGGGTGAGTACAGGCGTTTCCTGGGTGCCGTGTGTCTCCCACTGCACGTGTGCTGCATTGACACCGGGGCTGACATCGGGCTAGCAGTAGGGCTGAGGACTGGCAGCCAGAACTGGGCTGGTGACTCTTGGGATAATGTGCCAGAAATGCCCTTCACTGTCCACCTGAGCCTCCTCCTCTCTGCTGACCCATGCCCAGAGGAGTGCCTGTTCCCCTGATGCTGGTTGAGGAGAGCGATGTGGTGGGTCCTGGCTAACAGCTTCACAGCTTCTGGTTCCTGGGAGAAGGATCCTGCAGCCATCCTTATCCCTTTGCAGCCGAGATCCAACTCCTTCATTTCATTTGGGAGGGAGGAACAGGGGAAGGGAATTGGGACTCCTTAGAAACACTTGGCAAAATGCATGAGCTTCTTCCCATGGAGTCCCAAAACACACAGACTCAGGTCCCAGAATTTTACCTGGGGCCACTGAAGACTTTCTTCCCCACAAGGCAGTGAGCATCAACCAGAGATGGCTTGGTCCTCTTTGCAGGGCCTCTGATTCTCCTCTGACGGCACCCACTTTCTCCTTCCTTTCTCGGTCACTAATGCCTTTATGCACGTGATTTTCTGCTTCCCTTCCAGGTCAAAGGCTGCCCGTGGGAAGACCATGGTGGGCGGACGGTGGAAATAGATGACTCAAAAGGCAAAGGACGCTCAGCCACAGAGGTGTTACTGCCTTTTGGTCGACCAGCTGGCTTCCCCAGGTCATGGAGCCTGCATCATGCACCCACCTGCCCTCCCACTGCACAGAGCAAAGACCTTGCTGCAGGCACAGTACTGTCTGTGTGGGCAGATGCTTCGCGTGGTGCCATTTCTCATCTCTGCACCCCCAGTTGATGTTGTGTCTGTAAATAAAAAGAATGGTGAGGGGGCACAGGTGTTATCCATCCTGAAGCTCTGAGTCCAGAGGAAACAGGCACAGGACAGCCCCAGCAGAGCTTGACTGAGCAAGTGCAGTTGCACACTCACTCCCTGGGGTGCAAGAGGATGCAGCAACCATCCAGGACCTCCTGAATAACATGTCCCCTTGCCTCACAGCATCTCACACCTGCAGTCCTTGGGAAGTTTTGTAACAGACCTCAGTGGTCTGACCTGCTTTTCCTGCTGCAGTTTGGGGCAATCCTAGTTATGGCCACTTTAGTTCCTGCTTTTGCTGTAGCAGAGTCCCCCTCACTCCTCTCTGTCAGGGTTGATCCTGCGGGACAGCATGGATAGGGGCACTGCTTCCATCTTCTTGACCATGGATTATTCACAAACCCTACTTCCAGGCCATTTTTATTCCTAATTCCACCTCTTCCTAAAGGGCCCAGACCAACTATGTTTGCCTCTTCTGCATGTTTCTGACAGCTTGCAACAAAGACTTGAGATGAGTCAGTGTGGAGAGACCATTTACCTGTCCTTTCAGGGGTGCAGATCTCTTTAATCTAGCTGTAGGCATCTCTGTAGCATTGTCCCACATGCAATGCCCACAGGGGCACATCAGCTGCATAATCCCGAGTGTTCCTGGTGCATGGAGCTGGGCTGTCACGCAGCAGAAGACACCAGACTTGCATGACCATTTCCTGGGGCAAGCGGTTCCTTGCTGTTGATCAACAGCATCTGGGCTGTGAGGCATTTCCCAGAGCAGTGAGAAGGGGGGTGGATGCACAGGATGATGGATCTTCAAGGGCTTCTTGTCCCTTGGCAAGACATTTTGTCTCCTTTCTTGTTGCAGCTGCCTGTCCTCCCAATCTCAGACCCAGTGATGTGGGGGCATCCTGCAGGTTTCTCCCTTGTGCTGCCTGTTGGATGATGAATTATTTTGCCAACTTCAACATGTGCCATCAGGTTTTGCAGAACAAGGCTCTGGGATGCCTCAGCTTTAGTGAGGCAGCAAGTGGAGGGCAACCAGTTCCCTCTCACCTGCTCTTCAAAAATGAGGTGTGGAGGGATGATCCTGGTCCCTTACTGGGACAAAATGGGAGAACTGGGGAGGGTGGCAGTGCTGGGACATGAAATTCCTGGAGGGTGGCTGAGTGAAAGTCTGGCAAATGACACTTCCACCCCACCTGATACATGGCCCTGGGCAGACAGGTACACCTGGCCTGGAAAAAAAATATCCCCTTCTCCTGGACTCCAAAGGTCCATCCTCAAAACCTTTCTAGCAGTCAAAGGCATGGCCCTGCCAGTGCTGGTGCCCGGTGCCATGCAGAGGTGCTGCAGCCGCTCTGCCCGTCCCTGCGGGGCTGGCAGCACCCAGGGGGGGGGTACGGAGGCACTCCCTGCTTCCCACAGTGCTGCCTGTCTCAGCAGCGTGCTGGCCCCCCGCCAGCCTGGCTCCCTGCACGCTGGGGCCGAAACCTGTGCGCTGCCTCCCCGCCCGGAACCTCCCTGAGTCAGCATCCAGCCCTGCCACCGACCCTCCCCTGCTTCCTCTGCCATCAGTGTCTGTGGCTTCCACTGTGAGTGGGCTGCTGCTGTGCTCGGGCATGGCAGAGCAAGGTACAGGATGCAGAAATCCTCTGGGATGTGGCAGAGTGCTCTGGGGTCTTCTCTGGTGTGTTACAGGGTGCTGGCATCATCCCAAGTGTTGCATGGGCTGCATGATGATTACAATGGCACAGAATGTTGTGCCATGGCTTGATGGAGCGTGGTGCAGGGCTCTGTATCCTGGCGAGCAGCTCTGATGTGCAGGCGTACTGTCCCCATCCTGCCACACATAGCACGTGTTTTGCAAGTGGATGAGTCTTAGGTTAGAGCAGCAGGTCAGGGACTGGCCACCCTGCTGTGCACTGCAGAGTGAGGGACCCCTGGCAGCTTTTGGAGGTGCTTTTCTGCAGGGTGCAGACTCGCAGTGTCATGCCTTTGGGAAGATTAGCAGTGTGCTTGTGTTCTGCAACGCTGCCCTGTGGTCTGAACGCCCACGTGGGCAGCAGGACCTTTGGATGCCAGATAAAGCACCAGTGTCCTCCGGAGCATGGTATGAGGGGTAGAGAGCTCTGCCCTCCTCTAGCAGGGCATCTTCCCAGAAGATATGAAGTGTAACATCCTCTAGCATGTTGCAGAGGAACAGCATCTTCTATCATAGTGTGCAAACATCCTCCATGCCATGGTCCTTTGAGGATCAGTCCCTTGTGCAGCACCACTCTGGAGCACAGCACCAGTGAAACCAGTGTCTGTTCACGTGCAGTTCTGGTCTCTCAGCCAAAGCACCAGACGGGGATCAGGTTGTGCCCCACGCAGTCCGTGCAGTGCAGGATCATTTTGGCTCCTCTACAGAAATGTTGACAGGTGCTGCAGTGAGGTGTGCGTGCTGGTGGGTGCAATGCAGGCCTCATGTCCTACAGCGTGGTGTGGCACAGAAAGCCTCTGCCCTCCCCAAAGTGGTGCCAATATGTCCTAGCCAGGGTTCAAAGTTTCAGGGGCTGCTGCCAGCCTCCTCCTCCGTCATTCAGCATGAGTGTCCCAACACTACTGCATGACCCCAGACCCCAGCACACCTGTGCCCAGGTCTCACAAGCATGTGCGCCTCGTGGTCTGTCAATGCAAATCCATATCAAGGTCCTCCTCAGGATACCACTGTCCCTACACAGTGGAACAGATGCAAAAGAGGATGCCTTTGTTACCCAGAAGGTGCTGGTAAAATATTAAGGTGATGTTTTGGGTTGTGATTGTGCTAAACCAGAGCTGTGTGTAAGGCACACTCAAAACCCAGGACCGCTCCCAGAGTCAAAGCCAGGCGGAAATACAGATATTGTAGAGCCTGGTCTTGCCACTACTACTATAGATAGAACCAGCCTGCTCATGTCTTTGATCAGTTCATGTTAGCCAAGGATGCTCTGGACAGTGCAGGAGATTCTGTGATTGCTCTCCTGGGGACAGGAGCCAGGGTCACGCATGGGCCCACGCTACCATCATTATAGTCCACGATGTAGCTGCAGTGGTCCACGAGGATCTGTGGGACAATGGAGCAGCAGGTCTTGAAGCAGAAATTCTGCCAGGGCCCAGTGTGTCTCACTAGATTGGGATGTGGAGCCTCTTGCTGGCCCCATCAGTTGGGGTACAGGGTGAAGGATCCCCTCACCTCCACCTTGGAGATGTTGGAGTGTTGCTTCCCTCCATCAGGGAACACAAAGTTTGAGGTGGCCCCAAGGGCCATGAAGTGTGAGCAAGAGCAACGTGTGGAGGAGATAGGCAGGGCGAGTGGAGTGGGTTGTCAGAATGTGTGTCAGAAGACAGAGCCTGCCCAACGTGCCGGACAAGCACGGT